GATTTTATTATTAATTGACAAAATTATATTTCTATATTTTGAATTCCTTTTTTTATTAATTGACTAAAATATATTTTTATGTTTTGAAGTTGCTTTTTTTATTATTAATTGACTAATTAAAATTATTTTAATTAGAGAATCATTTTTGCTATTTTTTCATTTTTTTAATTTTATTAGTAAAATATATTACTCCCTCCGTCCCAAAATAAATGTCCTGCTTTGACTTCACACAGATTAAGGAAATGAATTTGACTTCACACTGTAGCGACATTGTTTGTTACTGTAGCGACATTGTTTGGCATTGTATTGACACTGTTTTGCACTGTTTGACACTTTGATATAGATTTGTTTACCAAATATGGAAGTTAAAGAAGTATGACATTTTTTGGAACATTCATTTTGGGAAAGCAGGACATTTATTTTGGGACGGAGGGGGGCATTAGATACGGAGTATGAAATTCTATTATTCAACAGATTGATCTAATTTAATTACTTCAGCTAGTATTTCAATAACATCACTAGATTAAGTCAATCAATTTTAATGTTGTCAAAAAAGCACTAGAAACAAAACTTTGTTTTTCCTAAAAGACATTGTAATAGACATATGCCATTATTATCCTAATATTTTTCTCACTTTTTTAATTAATTGATAAGAGTAGGATTTTATTATTATTATTATTATTATTATTATTATTTTACCATAGGATTGTATTATTGTAAAAAGTCGAATAAAAATATGTGTCATGTTTACAGGTCAAATTTACTTTCAATTTTTGTGGGATTAATCAACGAAAATCGTCCTAGATAGGACTAATGAGTTCCTAAAAAGCACAAATAGGACTACTACTTTTTAAATTCCCTAAATAGGACTAAACATTGATTTTCTACCCTAAATACCCCTAAGAGTATTAATTCATAATGAAATGCTTTAAATCATAATAAAATCATAAAAAACGTTCAAAAAAATGTTTAATAATCGTAAAAAAAATATAAAAAATTTATAAAACATTTATAAAATTCAAAAATTAATTTTTATTTTTTTAATTTTTTTTAAAAAATAATAAAAAATAGTAAAAACCCATAAAAATGAAAAAACTTATGGGTACCTTTCCCGCCGCCTCCCAGCATCACCACCTCCGATTGGTGAAATTTCTTCCACTTTTGGTAAAAAAAAATGTCATCTTTTTCTGAAAATGCCAAAAAATGTGGCATAATTACTCTTCAATATGCCAACATTTTCATTGAATAAGCCATCATTATGGCATTATTTAAAATGTTGGCATATTTTTCTCCGGTGATGGGAGCTGGTGGTGCTGGGGGGTGGCAGGCGTGGTAATGTTGTTTTTTTAATTTTACAATTTTTTTAAAATAATTTTTTTTAAATTTTTTTAAAAAATATTTTTATTATTTTTCTATTTTTTTTTACGGTTTTTAGTATTTTTTTAATTTTTATTATTTTTTTATGATTTTATTATTAATTAAAACATTTCACAAGTTACAAAGGTATATTTTTCCAAACACACATAAATAGTCCTATTAAGGGAATTTAAAAAAATTAGTCCTATTTGTGCAATTTTGTCACTTCTTAGTCCTATTTAGGGAATTGATTCATTAATCAAACAATAAGCAAGTTTTCTGGACACGCGACTAATTCAAAGATGAATTCTCGTTGGAACCAATCGATTTTGAAATTTGTGCGTTAATTTGGGAAGCATTTGCTCATTTGCTTAAAGCTCATTATTAGACAATGAACGGTTCCTATCTAAAAATTCAACACGTTAACAGCAAGTCAATGTAACAAAGGTTATTACTTGCTTTATTATTGTTATTTTTTTTTTTGCCATTAAAATGTAACACAAATCTCATATTTGCATCTTTTCTCGTTTGTTTTATGAAAATAATTACATATATATATAACTAAAACAATATTATTTACAAAAAATGTGACCTATTAAATATAGTGACTATAGTAGTAATTTAATCATCATAATTTATGTTTAAATTTTACGCTTAAGTTACTCACTTGCTTGAGATTATAATGTAATAACGATCAATCATATTTTGTAAATAAGCTTCTTTTGAATAATATTTTTAAAAAAAACTTTTCAACGATCTTCTATTCTCCTTTTTCACATTTTCACAATATCCATCACCAATAAAATTTTACAATTAATTCTTATAAAAAACATGGGTGTGCAGGACAAATTTGACGTCGCAAATGAGCTATCGCGCACGGATTGCTATATTAGAGCCTTAAAGGGGCTCAAGAAGAAAATCAAGTGAAAATGAAAATTGGTATTTTTTTATTACTACCCGGACCCTAGTAGTCTCCTTTAGTATTCAAACAATGAACATAAATGTCAAATCAACTATTGACCCGGAAAACTCGCTCCAGAATCGGATCCAAAAACCCCGAAAAACCAGAAAAAATTTCAATACCCTAATAAGTAAAAATATGTATATATTTAGATATTCATTTAAGAATGAAAATCATGCCAAAACATATTATAAATCTACAATATAAATAACAAATATCAATATGAATTTTAATAGGATCAAAATTGTAGTGTTTCATATGAAAATTGTAGATTATTAAGAGTGTTTCATATGCTTAATAAATACTATCGTATTATCATTAGTTGATTATTATAAATATTAACTACCTTTTATTATAATTATGTATATAGTTATTTGTTTATTATTATTATTATTATTATTATTATTATTATTATTATTATTATTATTATTATTATTATTATTATTATTATTATTATTATTATTATTATTATTATTATTATTATTATTATTATTATTATTATTATTATTATTATTATTATTATTATTATTATATGGTCGTGTAATTGTTGATCGGTTGACCCAATAGGTCCGAGTTGACCCTGACCCGGTCATGTGGGCGGTCACTTTCCTGTCCGATTTTTAACTTACGTGAGAATGTGAGATCTCATATTCTCATTATTATTATTTTGATTACTACTATTACTATTTTTACTTTTTTCGTTACGGTTTCTTAACAATTTTTTGCACGTATTGTTTATAGAAATCAAGAAATGAAAACAACTAGAAATCGAACTTAATACTCCGGAGTAACTAAACTCATTTATAAGAACCAAACCATATTATAACGGTTCGGTTCCACCGACTGTTAATTCCAAAACTCAACCCTATCTGATTTTATCTAGACTGAAACTAGTTCAATTAAAAACATTCTATTTGAGAAAAGGAGAGGTTTTTTTAAATAAAAAAAACGAACAAAAAAAAGTGACTACAAACTTTTTTAGTCTAAATCTATAATCACCGGTAGTGACCAAGTGCTTGTGATTATGGCTGGACTCGGGCCGGTTCGGGCCCGGTTCGGGCCTGGGCCCGGCCGGGCCTCGGGCCAAGAAAGGGAGGCCCGAGCCCGAACCGCCGGTGGCCGGTTCCGGTCCCGGTTCCGGGCCAAACCGGGCCGGGCCGGGCCGGGCCGAACCGGCCCACTTAATTTTTTTTTTTTTGGTCTCCTATTTAATCCCCTACCCCTCCCCCTCAACCCCAAACCATCCCAAACCACCTCAAATGGCCCAAAATACCTAATCCAACCTAAAACTTAAAAAAATTTCAAAAAAAAAAAATAAAATAAAATCCGGCCCGGACCGGGCCCGAACCGGCCGGGCCGGTTCACCAAAACCTGGGCCCGGGCCCGAACCGCCCAGCAGCCGGGCCGGGCCGAACCGAACCGGTGGACCCACCGGGCCCCGGGCCGGGCCGGGCCTAACAGTAACCGGGCCGGGCCGGTTCCGGGCCGGGCCGCCCGGCCCGAGTCCACCACTACTTGTGATCCCAACCTGAATCCAGTGATTTCGAAATACCAGTAACCAGTGACTCACCAAGCACCACTACAGTGACCCCTGATGGCTCTAGTTACCTTGCCACCAGAGTGACACCGCAGCTCCAGGCTAGTGCACTGCCCCACTCGGTGACAATACAACAGTGACCAGTACTAACTGTGGCCTCAACTAGGGCTGGACTCGGGCCGGTTCGGGCCCGATTCGGGCCTGGGCCCGGTCGGGCCTCGGGCCAGGAATGGGAGGCCCGAGCCCGAACCGCCGGTGGCCGGTTCCGGTTCCGGTTCCGGGCCAAACCGGGCCGGGCCGGGCCGGGCCGAACCGGCCCAATTAATTTTTTTTTTGTTCTCCTATTTAATCCCCTCCCCCTCAACCCCAAACCATCCCAAACCACCTCAAATGGCCGAAAATACCTAATCCAACCTAAAACTTAAAAAAAATTCAAAAAAAAAAAATTAAAATCCGGCCCGGACCGGGCCCGAACCGGCCGGGCCGGTTCACCAAAACCTGGGCCCGAGCCCGGACCGCCCAGCACCCGGGCCGGGCCAAACCGAACCGGTGGACCCACCGGGCCACGGGCCGGGCCGGGCCAAACAGTGACCGGGCCGGTTCGGTCCCGGGTCGGGCCGCCCGGTCCGAGTCCAGCCCTAGCCTCAACAAGTGAATCGAGCAATAAAAAATTGCGACAAAACACTTTCAAAGGATTAAAAAACTTCGAGAAACTATCAAATACTTCAAAATTGGTGTTATCTATAACCTATGTAGCACCGATACCGGTACGCGGAAACGCGGAAACGCGAAAACGGGTACGGGGATACGTCAAAACCAAAAAAAGTAGGATACGGATACGGGGCCATATTTATAAATATTAAAAGTTTTGGGGGTGTATTTACAAATATTAAAAGTTATAGGGGTCTATTTATAAATATTAAAAATAGATTTTTTTAATATATATATATATATACATACATATAATATTCTATGATGTCTACTCATTCATTGCATTGAAACATTTTCCTTTTTCAAGATATTTAGTAATAAATTCATAATATTTCTCGTATACACTAGTGTATCTCGAAATATAAATGTAGTCAATAAGTCATTAATTTAAAATGAGAAATAAGTCAAACAATTACAATCTTGAAATTAAAAGTGCAAGTACTCAATTCGGAGTATGAGTTAATGACTTAATTCGGATATAGCCATATAGGCCTATTATTTGATTACCAAGTAAAATGTAGTTTTAGATTTTCATTTTTTTTAGAATTTTATTAAGTAAATTTTGGGATTTTTTTTTTAAAAAGTTGATACGAGTATCCGTCAGGATACGAGTATCGAAAACATTCAAAAAATTACAAAAAAAAATGGAAACTTTTAAAAATTGCAGATACGGCCCGGGAACGTACGGTACGGGTATCCTAGAGTATCGGATACGGGAACGTATCGGATACGCCGATACGCTACCCTAGGGAAGTATCCGTGCTTCATAGTCTATAACACATGGCACCATCTCGCTCTCGGATTTTCCTTCCAACTTTCTCTTCATCATCGACAATCTAGTCTTCCATCATTTATCCACCTCTATAAAAAAAAATACACTAGATTAGATAATATTGTCCCAAATATGAATTATAAAGTAAAAATGGCAAGTTTGTACACTTACTAATTTAAATATTTACTCTATGTTAGTTCTACTTGAGACTGTACAGAGTAAAAACAATTGGACTTGAATAGAGTTACCCCAAATCAAATGCTCTTATTTGGGCCCTTTCACTCTCCTTCGTAATTACAAACGAATTCAAGTACACGATTTCCAAAATTAAATGTTTTGGACTTCGTGACCATAAATTTGTTGGCCAGTGGTTTAGATGCTACACTTCTCCAAAATTTTGTTCCGATATTCAATTTGTTGGCCAATGGTTTAGACTGCGTCTGGGACTCTTTGATGCGAAATCTCCATCGCCTAGCAGCGCCGCCTTTGGGCAAAAACGTAGCAATCTTTTCCCTGATCTTGATGAGTTGAACACAGAGCACATTACCCAATGGCACCGTAACCACTAAACAAAATTAAACTTTCATAAACATGTAATAAGTGTTGCATATTAATGTGCGTCAAATATATCTATATAAGAAAAAAATAATGTTGTTCAGTTTGTGAAACAAATTTTAAGTATTTACACAGTTGTCCAACTACGTCACATTTTCCAGAAAGGAACAGTTGGGGCTTAGCGCGAGAAAACGCTGCAAAATGTCTTTTCCACTCATTAATATTTTTGTTTCTCAGCCCAGCGTTGCCATCTCAGCTGTTTCTTCTGCTTGAGAACGGCTCCCATTCCACATGTCTTCCTACAATTTTATATACTCCATATAAAGTTAACTGTAAACAACAAAAACAACTTGCACACATATACCCACACGCAAACTGACATACGAAAGTACATAATATGAACATCGTAACAATATTCCTCATGAATTTTATTTTAAAGACAAAATACGTGTCTTAGTAGTCTTAGATTACAGCAATCTTAAATCATGTTAAGTTATACATCATTTATAACAAGATCAAATATGTGAACCTTATAATTGACTTAACAGAGGAAACAATCACAGAATAAATACAATAGTATGTCTCAGCTCCACTGTTATGAAACTCCAGCACTCCACTGAACAGAATGAGCCTAGAACAGTTAGGAGAGATATATGATACAAGTCCACTAGCATTCAAAGCTGATCATTTCCATTTGAAGGGCTCTTCAGCTTTGCCAAGATGGACTTGAGCATTGAATTCTAATATGAGCATGGTAGGAAATAGAGAAGGAATAATATAATAAAATAAAAGCGTGAGCTAGAATTAATCGGTGTCCGACCTTGTCAAGACACACAATTAATTAATTTTTCCCAAACTGTTAATTGAATAATATTGATGACCCTTATATAGCTATTGCAAATGTCCTAATTCTAAAAGGAAATAAATGATACTTCAGATTTTGTCAAAAGCAGAAGAGGAATAATTATAAAAGAAGATAAATGCTAATTAAGAAACTGCCTAAAGCACACACAATAGTAATAGTAATAGTACATAATAATAATAAAAATAATAATAATATCAGGTTTCTTTGTCCATATCATCACTGCCCTCTTGGACATCAAAGTTGTCTTCAAGCTTCAAGGGAAGTAGGCTGTAGTGTCTGTCTTTACCACGATCAAATGGTAGAATTAGATGTACATTTATCACATTTTGCAGATGCAATTTTCAGTGCGGACTGCAAACAGATTAAACTACACATAGAGACTAGACACTTCCATGTGGATCTTGTAATTAGGTTCACCTCTTGACTGAATAAATTAGAAAATGGAGTGGAAATTGAATTGTACGTCCCTACAAAATATGCCATCAAATACCTCGCTGATGCAAAAAGATGCCATCAAATCCTTCCAACCCTAAGCCCCAGTGAAATTGTCAATGCAATGTTGTTGCAAAAAAAAAGACTCATTTTTGCGGACTATTCCACAGGCTTACAGCCTCAGATGATAGGTAGTACATCCGCATGCTTTTCTGCCACTTCCTATGCTATTAGAGAACATGTATAGCATGGCTTACCAGATCTGATATAGAAAGAACCTAAAACATACATCATCATCTGATGATGATTATGATAACAATAATAATAATAATAATAATAATAATAATAATAATAATATCATGTTTCTTTACTCATATCACACTCAACAAAGAATATCAAATGTAATAAAAATGTTAGAAAGTTATCAGAACATCAGAGTATAGCGTTGTACTCCTATATGTTTCTTCTCCACTGATCTGAAACTCTACGAGTCTTACAAGCCAAGAATAGTCAGAGGAGAGATTTGATCTTCGTCCATTAGCATTCAAAGATGGTCATTGCCTTTTAAAGGGCTCCTCAGCTTTGCCAAGATGGACTATGTTTCATCTCCACTAATCTGACACTCCACTGAGTTAAATAAGCATCCGATATGATCATTTTCGTTCAAAAGATCACCACCACAGCTTTGACAAGATAGACATGCAAATTGAATAACTCACCAAACTATATTAAATATGAACATCGTGACCAAATTCATCGTGAATTTCTGCAGACAAAATTTCTCACATAGAAATAATGCATAAATACAACATTCAAGAAATAATGCATAAATGCAACATTCACAAGCATTTGTACAAAGAGTGTAGGTTGAGGAATGTGCAGTGAACAGTTAGCTGTTTTTGAGGAGGAAGAAGGTCCGAGGACTCACAGTTCAGAGTTGTTGCAGCTCTTGAACCTGCTTCCCTGACTGATTGTCTCTACTGATATCTCTTAATCAATGCTATGAGGTTTTCCTGATGCCGATGACTGTCCTGTATGTACAAAAATGCAAATACAGATCAGCATCCTTTTTTTGTTTTTGGATTGTTCTTGATAAACTTCGCCCAAAATATCCACCACTTATACACTTATTACACTTCAAGTTAGAGCATCATTATTAGGGTATGGACTTATATGTTTCTCTAAGCTTATCTAAAACTCCACTGAGCTTAAGAAAGATAGAACAGCTATGAGAGAAAGTTAAATCAAGTCCATTAGCATTGAAAGCAGATCATTGCAAACCCCAAAAAATTTTTACTACGGAAAACTATGCAGAGTCAGAAACAGAACATGCACAGTGACACCAACTGAGAAACGGAAAAAATGACTTACAATAGCCACACCATCTCTTTATATATGTATGAAGATGTATACATACCTCATTGGGAGTATTGTGCAGCAACCTTCCCTTGCTGTTATGGTAAGGACGTACTCCGGCCTTTCCCTGCAAGGTAACATCATCATCACCTTAATCTCAGATAATTAGGGTCGGTGATATGAAATGTATGGCGTGAATTAATTCAGTTCGCATTATAGCATTACAACAACAACATTACCCCAATGCCACAAAGGCTCCCACCTATGGTGGAGTAAGGGGGGGGGGGGGGGGTCAGATGTACAGTCTTACCACTATACTAAAGAACAGAGAGACTGCTTTTAGATGAACCATAATGAAAATTGCATCAAAAATTGCATGGACTGATTGTTGCTTCATAACAAAAAGCGCAAACAGTTTACCGAACCATTTTGCTTTATTCCATTAGAAATGAATAAATGATGGAAAATAGCTTAATAGCATTATGAGGGGAAAATCAAAGAGTTTCACATGGGATGCTATTCTTGTTCCAGCCTGCTTACTAATGGCAACACTGAGTAGGAGAAGAGATATCTCATAGGAAATAGTTCAAAACAGGCATAAAAAACTCGAAAAGGGCAGAGTTTCCACTAATGGGAGTTAAAAGCATAAACTTTGCAAGCCAATAGTGTGGATAAAATAGTTTTAACCATGCTGTTCATAAATCAAAATTACATCAGAATTCACAACAAGTGCACACTGGAGTGTGACTGAGAACTCAACACCCAGTTATAGTTGTGATCAATGAAACCATGTTTTGAATAAGAACCGGTAAGAACCTGGCATAAAAACGAATGAATGCTCTTTAACCTACATACACATTATCTTTCTGCATCCGTGGTTTTCCATTTGTTCTTGAATTCGGTTTTCAGCAAGTGATTCGACTAGTAATTCAGAAATAACTGTTGTTGCTGCCTCTTGTAAGTAGACAATAAATGGTCCCCATACTCCAGGAATATTCACTTGAGGGAGACTTCCCAAAAATGAGAGCAGATTGAAAGCCATATGTAAGAAGACATTATTAGGTAGGCTGCTGGTGAGAGCTAGACTTAATACAGCTGTCCGCAGATAAAGGGTAGTCTCCCCCTTTGTGTTCATTAAATTTTGCGAGAGAAATTTAACCACTTACATTTGACAAAATGTCACAAGATTTGACTAAACACCATCTATAAGAGAGGTAATTTCAGGGGAAGTTAATTCAGTATCTGAAGTCAAGAACTCTAGAATGTTATAAATATAATCGCTTTCAGGGTGCGTTTTGTCTCCGGCAACAAATGCATACATCTTTGTCTTCAGTTTTATCCAAGACCACCCGGGCTCTTTAATGACTCCTTTTGACCTCATCAGCTTCCTCAACTCCGCTGCTTCCCTCCACTTCCCTTTAGAAGAATAAATATTAGCTAGGGTTATATGGGCCCCAGCGGAGTCAGGATCCAGTTTTAGGATATGTTTTGCAGCACGTCTTCCACATTCAACATCACCATGCACCCTGCAAGCCCTGAGGAGAGTTGACCAAACAACATCATCCTTTTCAAATGGCATGCTATTTATCATATTCTCTGCATCACTTAAACGTCCTGCTCGGCAAAGAAGATCAATCATGCAACCATAATGTTCTTTAGAGTGACTTAATTTATAGTCCTTGATCATTGAATTGAAGTAATGAAACCCAATATCAACCAATCCAGCATGGCTGCAAGCACTGAGAACTCCAACAAAGGTTACTGAATCCGGTTCCAAACCAGCCTCAGACGATTTCTCAAATAAATCAATAGCTTCTGTGCTTTTACCATGTTCAGCCAATCCACTAATCATAGCCGTCCATGATACAATATCATTACACTGAGCCATCTGAAAAATATCTGAGGCTTCTTTGATGTTTCCACATTTTGAGTACATAGATACCAAAGCACTGTGTATCAATACTGTCTGATCTAAACCAATGGCAAGGACATGAGCATGCAGTTGCTTCCCTTGATATAGACTGGTCGTATTTCCGCATACACTCAATACACTAGCAAGGGCAAACTCTGTAGGCTTTGTTCCTTCCCTTCTCATCCACGAGAGAAGATTGAAAGCCTCCTCACCATGTCCAGCTTGAGCATACCCTGCAATAATAGTGCTCCAAGAAACAATGTCTCTCTTGTTCATTGCATTAAACACCATGGAAGCTAAACCTAACAACCCACATTTTGAATACAGTGCCATGACTGAGTTTCCCACAGATGGAAATGCCACAAAACCTGAATGTAATGCATTGGAATGCAGTTGTTCGCCCCAATCAAGTCTTGCAAGATTAGCACAAGCAGCAACAATTGCTGCATAGGTGTACTCGTTAGGGCTCGTGTGTGAGTCTCTCATTCGCAAGAATGCTTGGATTGCCAGCTCATCTTGACCCATTTGGACATATGTTGTGATTATAGATGTCCAAGAGACCACATCTTTCAAAATCATTTTTTCGAACAGGCACAATCCATACTTTACATTCCCACATTTATTGTACATTGTGGAGAGACTATTAGCCACGTAAGATCCTGCACCATAGCCTTCCTTCACAATCCGAGTATGAATCTCCCTCCCATAATTCAGATACCCCATATCAGCACATGCCTTTAATGCAATGGCATAAGAATATGAATCGTATTTTATTCCATCTTCGCACATTTCAGAAAAATACATCAGAGCCTCATTGTTATAGCCCATATGAACAAGTCCAGTCACTATAGCAGTCCAAGATACTACATTCTTGTTAGGCATCTCATCGAACTGTTTGCAACCTTCCCAAAATTTTCCCAATTTCATATACATATTAAGAAGTGAGCTTCCCACAAAGATAGAATTCACAAGACCACTTTTTACAGAATATCCATGCACAAGTTCTCCATACTTAACATTTGTACTAATCCCACAAGCCTTTAGTACAAGGCTAAGTATGAAAGGATCCATATGAAGATCAGTATAGGCCCACATATCATGAAACAGAGATAGAGCTTCAAATGATTCAGAGGCATTTACGTAAGCAGCAATCATGTTGGTCCATGAGACTTCATCTCTATGTGGCATTTTATTAAACATCTCACGAGCATTTCTAACATGTCCTTTCTTGATCAGTTCCTTCAATTGAGAGTTGATGACCATAATATTCCAGCTGTGAGTTTCTTGTGTTAACTGATCTACGTTACTCCAAGTAGCCAATACATCTCTTGATTTAGCATATGCGACATTTGATGTTGCATAAAATCTCCTGAACAACCGCAAAACCTTGTAATTAAAACCATTCATGTGCACGAATCAAACACACTTCAAACACAAACCAGTCCATGCTTTCACTCATCATCATCATTACCCCAGTGCCGCAAAGGCTCCCACCTACGGTGGGGTAAGGGGGGGTCGGATGTACGCAGTCTTACCCCTGTACTAAAGCACATACCCCTGTACTAAAGCACAAAGAGACTGTTTCTGGATGACCCATAGTGAAAATCGCGTCCATAATGCATGGACTGTCTGCAGCTTCATAACAAAGAAGCGCAGACAATTTAGTGAGCCATTTTGCTTAATTCCATCATATTTTCAAGCCAAAAAATAGTGAGTTTTTGGCTCCATTGCAAATGATGGAAAACAGTCCATGCTTTCACTGTTTCACATTAATATTGTTGCATAATTATGGTGGTGGTCCGTTAGGGTACATTTGGATGGAGTGTTTTGGAGGGGAAGGCTTTGGGGCATAGAATATATACCTCAAAGCCTCAAATATAAAGAGATACAAATATTAATATATTATGTGATCACATATTAGGGTCATCTTAGTCTTTCTCAATCTCAAATCTCTCTCTCTCTCTATATATAAAGGGAATCGCAGGCTTATAATTGTTCCCGCCCCCCTAAGCATACGTGCAAACCTCATGCCAAAAACTGTCATTATATTTGTGTCCAAAACATAGTTTCTAAAAAAAGATGTGGTAGTAAAGGCAACGATTAATAAAATAGAAAGCTTTTGTTCTGACCACTTCGAGAAACTAAAAAACGGTTAGATCTTACAACTCTAATATATTTGAAGATTTCAGGTGACAATATAATTAGTAATTACGGTTCCAAATGCAAGATTAAAAAGTTGACCACCAGTAGTCCACCACCAACAAAGGTAAAACAAAGACCCTAAATGAAAATGCGCCAAAGCACAACTGCACAAGATACTCTTTTGTACTTCTCCCAAAAATATAGAAGTTAGGCCATCAATCAAAACAAAGTCTAAAGTCAATCCAAAATCAAAACAAAGTCTAAAGACAATCCACAATAAAAATCATAAGCATATAGTGAGAAACAAACTGCAAAAAGTGCATGATAATCACTAATTCATTATACCCGCAAAAAGGTAACGAAAAAAGGCAATAAAGAGTGAAGTAAATGGAGGACAGATAAATATAAGAACAATAAACAGGTTGGGGATGGGACTTACCTTGTACGCTGATTGTACCAGGTCATAACCGTCTTGACCAGTGGACCTGGATTCTTGTAAACCATCTATCTCGTCATTCCATTTCAAAAAGTGCCGTGATCAGATCCAAAAGCGATAGAATCATCCTGAAGATCACATTCAAAATCTAGCTTGGTTACAAATTGGGCAATCCAGTGGATGGTTGATAGGCAATGATTTCATTACACCTTACTAGATCTTCTAGGCTATCACAATATGTGAATTCGAATTGATCTTTATTCTGTTTAAAAAGTTTCCAAATAAGTAGTACATGCCTAGAAGGTAGAAGGCTACTAAATAAGTAAATGGAAAAGCAGCTGGAAGATCTTTTATGAATTACAGTATTATCATATATCAAAACTACTTTAATGCTAGAGCACTACATGGATTTCAAAATCAATTATCTCCATAATTCTTCATATGTACAGCATTAACATGGAATAGAAGAACAAAAAACACAATGAACATGAAATAGAAGAACAAAAATAAACCATGAACATGAAATAGAAGTACAAAAATAAACTATGAACATGAAATATGTATGTATAGGACTATAGGTGCAGTCATTTGCGACCAGCACCCACTCCCCATGACTTCCAACGACTTTATTTATAAATTCAAGAATAAATAAACGAATTTACTTGCACACACGCATAATATGAACAAGAACAACAGGTCAAAGCAATGGATTTTATAACATGAACACCATAATAAAACTCCTTGTGGATATCTAGAACAAAAATTTAGGGGGAATTTGACTTTCCACCCCACTTTTTGGGTGATATTGGACTTTGCACCCCATTTTTAAAAAACTTTGATTTTGCACCTCATTCCACTTAAAATTCCTTTGACTTTGCACCCCATTTAGAAATTTTTCTTCACAATATGGTATGTGTTGGGGTGCAAAGTCAAAGTTTTTTGAAAATGGGTTGCAAAGTCCAATACCATTCAAAAAGTGGTGTGCAAAGTCAAATTCCCCCAAAAAATTATCCGATGGAGATAGAAGTTGAGAAGATGAAACTATTTTAAAGCAAAAAGTGAACAAAGGTGACAACTATGGCTAGGATGTCACCTTACATATTTTTTATTCCTATTGTAAAAAACAAACCCTTGTAAGCTATGAAGCACGGATACTTCACTAGAATACCGTATCGGTGTATCGGAAATGTTCCCGTATCAGATACTCTAGGATACATGTACCGTACATTCCCGAGCCGTATCTGTAATTTATTAAAAGTTTCCAACTTTTTTGGTAATTATTTTAAAATTTCGGATACTTGTATCCTGACTGATAAACGTATCAACTTTTTTTTAAAAAACACCCAAAATTTACATGATAGAATTCTTGAAAAATGAAAAACTAAAAATAAATTTAACCCTAACACACAACTAAGTATATGGACGACAAGTAAAATGTGGGATGTTGGTGAAGATTTGGGAGCATGGAGGATAAAGGAGTACTTGAATTCACCAAACTTTCCGTAAGTGAACTAGAATTGGAAGCTGTCTTTTTTTAAGACGATGTTATCTCTGAAAATTGTTAGCTCCTATGGAAATATGTATTAGAACTTTTAGTTTTTTTATTAGAGTATTGTTTTCATCTCCATTATCCAAGAACTTTGAGTACTTTCACTTGTAATTTCAAAATTATGTTTGTTTGATTCGTTTGTCATTTTAGATTAATTAATAAATTATTGACTACATGTATATTTTGAGATGCACTAGTATATAGGTAGTATGAGATAAAATATGAATTTATTTCTAACTATCTTGAGCCTTCAATGCCATGAATGAGCAGGGTTCATATGATTATATATGTATATATTTTCCCAAAAAAACCTGTGATTTTTAATATTTATAAATACACTCCCATAATTTTTAATATTTTCAAAACCACCCCATAACGTTAAATATTTATAAATATACCCTTGTATCTTAGCCTAGTTTTCTTGGCTGCTGTTTCGACGTCTCCGCGTACCCGTATCATGTATGTATGTATGGATGCTACATAGCTTGTAACTGAACAAAAAAGTGATACTTCACTTTTGTGAACACAGTCGGTCAGGGGACCACTGCCGCTAGTGACCACCGCGTCCTTTGACTACCACAGCTAGTGACCACAATGACCACCGCTGACCCCGACCAGTAACAGTTACACATATCCCAGTGACGGCACTGGTCATTGGGACAGCCACCTAGCCCCTTAGGTGACTGTCGCGTGAGTTCTGGTGACCGCCAGTGCCGCCCCCTCCCCGGCCTCAGCCTCCCGCCCCAACTACCCAGCCTAAGCGGGCCTCCCTCTCCAGCCCCCTCCCTAGCGTCCCCAAGTGCAGAACCCTGCCTGAAAACCCTAGCCGCCGCCAAAATTTGGCCGCACCACCGCGTCTCACGGTTGAAACCTCTATCAAAGAGCCCGAACATCGGCACGACCCCAGGTCCCCAACCACCCCAGCATTAGTAGCATCTCCGGTCGCACATCTAGCCATAGCATCACGGCCGCAGCCACTAGTTGTCTACTATTCGGCCATAGCCGAACCCTAGCCGCCACATAGATGGGACTGTCGGGCAGAAGATGGAGAAGAAGAAAAGGGGAGGGGAGACACACCTGGATGCAGAGGCGGGCGTAGGGGGCGGTGCAGAAATGGCAGCGCACGCAGGGATTAGAGTTGATTTACGGTTGATTTTGGGCCTTTCGTTTAAAAAATGTTTTTCTCTTTTCTATTACACAAAAAACACATATTTTACCAAACACTTTCAACTTTTACTACTCATCACTTTTTCCAAATCATTCCAAAAATACTTTTTTGAACAAGAAACAGTTACAAACACTCCCTTAATTTCGATATTAAAATTGTGATTTCGGATATAGTTGGGTTTAAAACCCACAAATAGTAAATTGGACTCATATTCAAACTCGTGTGTTTTGATCAGTGTTCTAAAATGCTTCAAAAGGCTCCGCCTAAGCAGGCCTAGGCGTGACGCGGCCCATGAACGCCTCGCCTTCATACAATGCGTGAATAAAGGAGACCTGATCGGCCCGATCTACTAAAATTAAAATTTTGTTTTGTTTTAACCCATATTGGGAGAAGGGATGCACAACCTCAAAGACGGAATCGCAAATTGATTATATGGGCCTTGGACTTGTGGCCTGGTCAACCTGGTCAATTCAAAGACCTTACACTGTATGTATGTATGCATGCATGCATGCATGTAGGCCTGGGACCGGTTCGGTTCCTAGGCCAAATATGTGGAATCGTTGGAAAATATGAAATTTTACTAACGGTTCGGTTCTTATAAATTATTTTATGGAACCGATAAGGAACCGAACCGTTCTTAACGGTTCGGTTCTTGTCATTTAACGGTTCCTAGTCTTCGAAAAAATTCTTACAAATCATGACTAAATTTTTGCCAAAAAGACATTCTACGATTGAAATTACGATACAAATATGCTTAAACAGTTAAATAGAATAATAATTTTAAATACTTTGGACCTTCAAAGTTCCGACCCGCTGGAGTTCCGACCTAATGAGAGGCCTAAGAAGCCTAAGAGAACCGGTTGAAGTGAATAATAGTTTTAAATAGTTGAATAACTAAACTAAAATAATGAATGTAATATAAAAATAAGTAAGTAAATATACATAAAAATATATATACTCATAAGAAATATATATAATTTTAATTATTATATATAACGGTTCCTTAACGGTTCCTAGTACATATTTTTTTCAGGAACCGAGAACCGAACCATTAATAAAAAATAGGAACCGAACCGTTAAAAAATAACTAATAAATGTTGGAACCGAACCGGGTCATAACGGTTCGGTTCGGTTCGGTTCTCCAGTTCTTGGTTCCAAAGTCCCAGCCCTACATGCATGTATGCATGCGTGCATGTGTGCCTGCATGTATGCATGCGTGTGTGTGGATGCGTGCGTGCATATAGGCACATACCATCCATAGATTCGCAGAAAAGGTTACTGAAGCATGAATTGCTCTCCATTTTATGATACTGCCTGTTTTATGCCCTTTGATTGGTAATTTTGAGTAGGGTGGGGTGAAAGGTGGGAAAGAGTAGAAAACGAATTTGGTGCCTCATCTTCACAAAGGTTAGTTGTTACTTTATACTCCCTCCGTCCCCAATTAAATGTCCCATTTTACCATATTGGGATGTCCCTATTTAAATGTCTTATACCTCATTTGGTAAAGTTTGTGTGGCTCAAAATCATTCTTACTTTATTCTTACTTTATTCCTACTTTATCAATTAATATCAACCACACAAACTCACTTTTCTTAAAACGCGTGCCACCCTCTTCCGGGACTTTTAAAAGGGGACGGAGGGAGTATGATTTTTTAATATGAGACGAATTTGCTTATTAAACATCATTAGTGATGTGTTTAGGTCTATGAAGAAAGCGTTCACAAGTGGTGGCAGCAAGCCTTGAAAAACTATCAAGTCAGGCAAAGCTCTAGCGAAGGATAACAAGAGAACTAATTCCCGGATCAAAGAAGGGGCTGAGGGTGGGGTGAAAGGTGGAAATTAAAAGAGTACCTTAAAGAAGAAAACGATTCTGGTGCCTCATCTTCACAAAGGTTAGTTGTCACTACTCTTATATAATTTTTCAATATGAGATGAATCTGCTTATTAAACATCGATAGTGAATTGTCTAGGTCTAGGAAGAAAGCGTTCACAAGTGGTGGTAGCAAGTCTTGGAAAACTATCAAGTCAGGCAAAGTCTAGCTAAGGATAACAAGAGAACTAATTCCCGGATCAAAGAAAGGGCTGGGGGGCTGAAGATGTTTGAATGAATGTGAACGCGTGGTTAAAAATCTACAGCTCATGCCTCATGCTTAGTCATGGACCCGGCTCCGGGTTGGGCCTCGGCCCGGCCAGGCCCAATATTTTTTGTTGTGGACCCGAGACCGGCCCCGTGGTTAGCCGGTTACGGGTCGGACCGGGCCACCCGCCCGGGTATCGGGCCGGGCCGCCCGCCGGGTCGAGCCGATTACAATTTTTTTCCTTTTTCCTACTAATTTCTACAAATGCTGCATATTAAAAACAAACTTCAAGTGCATTTATTTGAAATAGGAACTACATATGAAAATTGAGAAAAAAATTACAATATGAAATACATTTTCTAAAAAATAATAATATAATACTCCCTCTGTCCCTAAATTTACTTCCATTTCGCTTTTCGAGAGTCAACTTAAATCACTCTTAAACTCTTACTTTTTGTATCAAAACTTTATGAAAATTGATTTTTTTTTGCAGGCTTTGTAGCGGGTTTAATGTAGTTTCTGAATATGTAAATTTTATTTACTAAAAATAATCCGAGTTTTCACAGGGATCATTTAACTTTATCGTCGGTCAACCTTCGTAATCCGCAATTGGAACAACATTCAGGAACGGAGGGAGTATATAATAATCAATCGGAATTTCTGCCACCGTTGGCTGTTGTTTTCTTATTGCCTTTGCCTTTGTCACAAGACTTAATATGTCTTGTGGGCATTCTGTATCCATGTGAACACCCCAAGCTACACTCTTTCTTGCACCACCTGCAAGTTGCGTATCACATCCCGGTCTTCGGGTCCTTCCACATATCAAAATTGTTTTTCATAAGGGAAGAACTACTTTCCATCTTTAAAATGGTAGATGTATAAGTAGGAGAATAAGAGAAGATGAAGAAGAGGTGTAGGAAAATGTTAGAAAATAGGTGTATTTATAGAAATTTTATAGCAAATTTCCATGCACTTTAATTTAGTGAAAACTAATTTAATAAAATGTGAAGTACTTTAAAAAAATAATTTGAACTACTTTTTTTCCTTGAAATAAAAATTCAAACTACTATAATGACAAATGTAACAATTAACTACTTTTTTAAAGTACGTAAAACTAAGGTAACAATTAATTAAAAATGGTAATGAACTAATGAACTACTTTAATGAAAAATATAATGATTAACTAATCAACTAATGTTAATAAAAAATGTAACTAATAAGACAAATGTATGAATGTGTATACTAATTAATGGGAGTATGTAATAGAATGAATTTAACTAATATTAATTAAAGTGTAACTAATATATAATATATTGTGTAAGTATATATATATACTTAACATAATAAGTAGATATATATTAAATATATAAACGTAGATATTATAATTGTATAACTAATATATAATATAATGTTTATACTATATAATATATAAGTATACTACTATAAGATGAGTAATAAACTTATATTTAATACTTTAAATTTAATATATAAAGTATATATTAAGTTGATGTAATACGTATGTATTAAGTAGATATTAAGTAGAGATTAAGTAGATAATAAATATAAGTAATATAATATATGTATTTATAAGTAGATAATTAATATATAAGTAGATAAAAAGTAGAGATTAAGAAGTTGTTCTCTTCACCTGATCTGAATGTTTCTGATCTGAATTTTTTAAGTTCTGATCTGATCTGATATGAATGTTTCTGATCTGATCTGATCTGATCTGATCTGAATCTTTCTGATCTGGTCTGATCTGATCTGAATGTCCTGATCTGATCTGAATCCTTCTGATCTGGTCTGATTTAAATATTTCTAAAATTATAATTGTAATTTTAATTTTTATTATAATAATTAGAAATGTAATTACACATATATAATTTAAATATAATTATAATTATAATCATAATTATAAAAAATTATAATTATAATTATAATAATTATAATAGGTATAATTATTATTATACGTATTACACTAGTTATAAATATAACTATAATTAGAGGAAGCGGTCCAGCTCAGCTGTTCGCCGACTCACTCTCCCTTATGGGAGGTCTCGAGTTCGAAACTCAATGGGGTGAGTTTCAACCTAGTTTACTTCAGGGCCCCCCCAGACCCCCTCCCCCAGACGTCTCCTAGAGTAAACAAAAAAAAGCTATAATTATAATTGTAATTATATTTTTAGTTATAATTATTTCTATAATTATAATTTTAATTATAATTATAATATTTATTTCTATAATTTTAATTGTAATTACTCCGTGTAATATGATAATAACAAAAAAAAGACTAATAACAATAACAACAACAACCATAATAGTAATAAGAATAATAATAATCATGATAATAATAAATATAATAATAATAATCATAGTAATCATAGTAATAATGATGATGATGATGATGATGATGATGATGATGATGATGATGATGATGATGATGATGATGATAATAATAATAATAATATCAATAATAATAGTAAATATAATAATAATTACAATAACAACAAGAATAATAATAATAAATTAATAATAATAATAATAATAATAATGATGATGATGATGATGATGATAATAATAATATCAATAAGAATAGTAATTATAATAATAATTACAATAACAACAACAATAATAATAATATTAATAATAATAATAATAATAACAAAATTATAATAATAATAATAATAATAATAATAATAATAATAATAAAAATAATTATTATTAATATTATTAATATTATTATAAGTATTATTATTATAATAAAAGGGATAAATCATGTCTGAACTTTTCTGATCTGATCTGAATGTTCCTGATCTGATCCGAATGTTCCTGATCTGATCTGAATGTTTCTGATCTGATCTGAATGTTTCTGATCTGATCTGAATGATTCTGATCTGATCTGAATCTTTCTGATCTGATCTGATCTGAATTTTTCTGACCTGATCTGATCTGAATAAAATAAGAATAAGCAATAAGTAATAAGATTAAGACGAACAGAACAGCTTCTAAGTAGATATAATAATTCTATAATTATTAAATAGTAAAATAGAATGGAGAATTAAAGAATTTGAGAAGATGACGATGGAGATGATTAAGAATAATAGAATATTAGATAGTAGAGAGTTGGAAGAGTTGGAGAAGATGTGTACAAAAATTTATAAAAATAGGAGTATTTATAGTTTGTTTTGCCCCCCCACAAACGCCCGGGATCCCCCTTCCCCCCACCCAACGGCTATATAGCCGTTACCCAACGGCTAGGGGGCTGTTTGGTTGTTAGTTTTTTTTTAAATCTAGTCGTTAGGCCCGAACCGGGCCGGGTCACCATTTCTGCAGCCCGATCCCGCCCCCGCTACTACCCACGGTCCGGGTCAAAGACCGGTATCGGGCCCGAAGCACCGGGCCGGATGGTGATCGTTCTATTCATATGCGATCAATGGAGTGTATGATCCTTAATCAAGTAGACAAGTTCGGAGTATAAGAAACAACTTTTGATCCTGAATCATACAATAAAGATGTTTTTTGTTTTAGATGAAAAGAAAAGGTAATCACTTCTACATCCTCTCACTTTCTTTCCACCCATTACATGATAGTATAATATAACGTAAAATATATATACTACCTCCCGAAAGATTACAACTTTCTTTTATATATTTTTCAAAAAGAATTTTTCATTTCTATAACACTAAATCACTTTTAAACAAAAAGTCATAACTATCTTTACTTTTTATCTACTTTTTGCTTGATTTTAATATCAAACAAGGATATGCTATAAAAGTCAAAATAAAACTCTATCCTCCATAAATATGTGTGTTAGGTTAAAACGAGAACTTCATTTCGAGAGGAGGGAATGTCTTTTTGAGCTAACCAAAATGTATAGTACTACACCTGTCCCAAAATGATGATTAAGTATTTCCTATTTGGAGTGTTCCTAAATGATAGATACCTTTCCCTTTTTGATAAAGAAATTAAAGTAGACTATTATTTATACCCATTTTTTTAATGAACAATAAAAGTAAAAGAGTGAACAATACAATAAAGTAAGGTTATATGAATCCTTCTACCACTTTATCTTAATATTTGAGCCCATAAAGTATAAGATCATCAATTTGGGATGGAAGGAGTATAAGATTTTGAGTTGATTTTTGCACGGAAACTAAAATCCCAAAGAATAAAAAACACTCTCTCCTCTTTTTAGTTATTCATCTTTCCTTCCGAGCATGAGACTAGAGTTTTTTCTTAAAATATTACTAATAAAAAATTCATGGACACAAATGTGACTTAGTAACTTTTAGTGACTACAGTTCCGTTAAAAATTTACATCATAGTCACTACATCATATTAATTTCGAATAAAATTGTGGTCACTAAAAGTTACCAAGTCACATTTTTGACCGTCACTTAGACCTTTCCCCGGTTCGGAACCGAACCGGAATCAGAACAGAACTGGCGATTCACGGTTCACCAAATGCCCAAAACTGAACCGGAACCTTGAAGCAAGGGTCAGTTCAAGGCGGTTCCGATCCGGTTCGACGTTTTTTTATAATTTAAAACATTAGGATATAAGAACAATATTTTATGAATTAAAGACATACATTGTGATATAAAAAACATTAAAGATGTCATACAAATCTTTGTAACTTATTTATTTTTAATAAATTTGAGCTTGGTGAATCAAAATTAAAACATTACATTATATTTATGATATTTATATGTATTTAATTAAAACATTAAGATATAATAACAATACTTTGTGAATCAAAGACATACATTATGATATAAAAAACATTAAAGATGTCATACAAATCCTTGTAACTTATTTATTTTTAATAAATTTGAGCTTGGTGAATCAAATTAAAACATTATATTTATTTAGGATATTTATATGTATTTAATTAAAACATTAAGATATAAGAAAATAAGTTTTTCCTAAAATATTACTAATACAAACCTCATGGACAAAAATGTGACTTGGTAACTTATAGTTACTATATCTGCATTCAAAGTTTACATCATGGTCACTCCATTATAGTAACTTTGAACATAATTATAATTATAGTAACTAAAAGTTACCAAGTCACATTTTTGTCCGTAACTCTTAAAAGAGTAATATTAGTGGAATTTTATCATAAGGAAATTACTTTGTGAATCAAAGACATACATTGTGATATAAAAAACATTAAAGATGTCATACAAATCTTTGTAACTTATTCTTAATAACTTATAAAAATCAACTTTTCAAAAAAAAAATTCCGGTTCCAGACCGGAACCGGCTGTTCGGGTTCTCAAAAATCCAAAAAACCAAACAGCCTCCCTTAACCGCATGTTTGGAACCTTGGCTGCAGATCAGTTCCGGTTCCAGTTCGGAAACTCCGATTCCGGTTAAACCGGAAATCGGGGACAGGTCTACCGTCACTTGTCCATGAGTAATATTAGCGGAATTTTTTCAAAAATTAAACAGTACCCAATTTTGAAATTTCAACATATTTTTTTCTTATGTTGTTAAAATTCCCATAAAACTTCAAAACCCTCACTCAGCAAGAAGCTGCTATTTCTGTATCTTCTTCCACGGGCTGCTAATTCTCTTGAGCACATTTGCATTTTTCCTCTTCTGCAGATCTTCATCTCCTTCTTCAAAGCAAGGAGGAGGAGGAGGGGCGCTGATCATCCCGGCGCCGGATGAAAGCATTGCAGACGCAGCTTCTGCAGCCTTCCGCCATTGCTCACTCTGCACCTTCACCCTTCTCAACTCCTCTTCCATTTCCGCATTGTACGCCTCCACAACCTCCATCCGCTCCATCATTCCTTCACTTCTCCTCCCATTTTCCTCATATATCATCTTCATTTCTGTCAATTTTTCCTTCAGATACCTAACCTCCCTCTCCAGTTCATATTCCCGCTGTCCCGACCGTCTATTCTCCAATTTCAGAGCTAGGTTTTCGTTCTCTTCGCATATCCCTTGCAATTCGGTTTCTTTGTCCATGAGATTCGCCTTCAATTCCTCGATCTCTATGCTCAGTTTCTGTACTTCGTCTCTAAGTTCGGTCTCTTTCTGGTTCGACGAGGAGATGATCTGTTCAACGAACTCGTAAGCGCCTCTGATCTCTACAGTGCTTCGCGTTTGTTCTTCGGCGATTTTTGCTTCGGATGCGTCCAGAGCATCTTGGAGGGTTTCAATTTCGGATTCGAAGGTTCTGTGTTTTTCATTGATGAGGGATTCTGCCCTAGCTTCTGACTCTCTGCAATTGCTTAGTTGGGTTTTCAATTCCTCCACAAGCAATAGAGTCTCAGACAGGGACTCCTTCAAGTTTTGAAGCTCTATTGACTCATCTAAGGCTGGGGCGGGTGTTCGTTTCATCAATTGCTCCTGAGATTCTTGCAGTTTTGAAGATAAGTGAGAAAGCTGTCTTTTTGTGTCGTCTGCTTCTCGATTTGCTTGATCTTTCAATGCTTCTGTGGAATGTAACTCTTCTTTTACTTTCTTTAGATCATTCTGAAGCTCAAGTATCTGAGATTCCAACTCACTACGCCTGTTTGAATGCTCCTGCAATTTGCAACCACAAAAAAATGAAACCAGAATGAACAACACTGATATTTAGATAGAATTAAAAATACAGAGATATATTTCTGTAACAAATACTACATCCGTCCCCTAATATTGGAACAAAAGGACCTAATATTGGGACTAAAGGGAGTCATGTAGTTTTTAAGAAAAGAAAATTTATGTGGTTGATAATGAGTTGATAAAGTGAGAATAAAGTAAGAATGAATAATAGTCACACAAATACTACCAAATATGGTATGAGACAATAATAGGGAGACATCCAAAAATGAAAAAATAAAACAATTATAGGAGGACGGAGAGATGAATGCCTAATACGGAGTATGTAGTATAAGACTATAAAAAGTGTCTTACTAACTTCAAGTGACTCTAATCATGTGTCTTTGAATATGTAAGTAAATTTATCAAAATCTTTCAGTTATATAAAAACACCGATCATTTTGTTTTAATCTTACAATTAAAATTGTTTTGGGGGGAGGTTTTGCGTATGGTTAATTATAACACAGGGATTTGACCCATTTTTAAAATCATAAAAACCTAATGTGCATATTTTATATATCACGAGGGGTTGGATGCATTAAATCGTAGTGACCATTGATGAAACATAAGAAATACTGATGGTCACTATATAGTAACATGATTGCAGTGACCCCCATTCATGTATAACTAAATTGTTCACCTTTGTGAGCGTGGTTGAACTTGTAGCATAACTCTATTAACAAATAATGGCATGGAGAGGGTCATAATGACTTTGAGGCTAGGTTCATACCTCTGACCCTAAACTATGGGGTGAACTTAGTTCACTGGCTTTGGGACTTCCTTGCTCATTGGCTTTGGGACTTCTTTGCTTTTTACTGCTGCAAATTGAATGCGGAGAAGAAGTGGTAGAGCTAGAGGTGTTTGGCAAAAGCTGGCGGACAATCCTTGGCGAAATCTTTTGTTGAGATGCTGCATTGTGAGAGGAAGTTCGCGGAGAAACTTTTCTAGGAACATCATTGGAAACGGCTCGTGGTGAGATCTTTGTAGGAACTTTTGGAGGCACTGATTGCGGTGACCTTTTTCTTTGAGGTATGTCTGAAGTACGATTTCTGCCCAAATTTACAAAAAACAAAAAACAATCAGACATCAACTAATCAACAAAGAACTGCTATGGTCATCAAAGCTTTTAGACCAACAGAGAGCGTTTGGCAAAAGTTAATTCTAACCTAGACCTTGTGTTATGTGGAAAAGTAAACATCTCAAAGGTGTTTGGTATTGACTATGGCTCGTTTGGGAGGAGTCGTTTGGCTTTATCGTTTATATGTGGTTGAATCTTCTGATGATGGCTGGTTGGAGGATTAGAGCTTATACAGGACTAGAGGTTTTATGCAACTTGTCAGAAAGAGTAATCTAAGACTATATTGAACCAGTATGGGTGAATAACTCATTCCAATAAAACAGAATAGCTTATTCAACGTAGGATGAGCAGAAGAAGAAAAATGAGTACCACCATATGTGAGATTTTGTTCCCAACAGAACAAAGACACTCACAACAGTAAAAAGCAAGTTTACCCCCAACTGGAATTTTCAATTCAATCTTCAACTGCCCATACAGAATTAAAAAAGGGAGGTAGTTAAAAGCGATGGAATGAAGGAGTTGGATTTACCTTGGTTTTGGAGTCTGCATATCTCACTCAACTACCCTTTGTGACCACTTTCAATACCATGAATAAGAGAGTATATAAGTGAGAGTGAGTGAATGCTCTGCCCCCACAGTGCCTTTGCAGCAGATGTTTCTATCAACCCAAGCCAAGGGGCAAAACAATTAGATTATTATCACTGGGCATCCAATGCCAACACATATCATTAATGCCACCCACACCCCAAATAGCCAATTCAAGATTACTGACTTTTTTAATGTTAAGAAATACCGGAGTAAGTATTTCTTATTTTCTATATTTTTAAATAGACTTTCATATACATATTAAGAAAATAGAACTCATGAACAAAAGAACTCGTGACCATCATAATAATCACTACAGTATCTGAAAATAGCTCTAAAGTCTTTAGTCAATACACATTAAAGGTCATATATACTTTATTTTCGAAATACATTTTTGGTTCTGAACAGGAAGAGCCATAATAACCAAAAATAGATAATGGGAGAAATGGAAATAATAAGGAAAAATTGAAAATAATAATCCTAACTATTGCTGGTTCGCCGATAATAATCTCAACTATTGATTATTTTTGTATAATCCCAACTACATGGACCATCCGCTAATAATGGTCCATGACAATATATTACCTCCTATAAAAAGTGATTTTTAAATAGAAAGTTAAGCGTAAAATTAAAAGTTGGGATTATTTATAGGGATTACTTGTTATATTTCTTCTCATCCACTTTAGAAACTACGAGAATTTATTTATAGGGACCATTATTGGCGGAAGGTCCCTAAAGTTGGGATTATTCTGAAATAATCGATAGTTGGGATTATTATGGGCGGACCATCAATAGTTGGGATTATTACTATCAATTTTTCCAAATAATAATAGTAATCCTAGGGAGAGCATTAATTTCATTCTTATCCTATTGAATGCAATGTCACGAGGTCAATGGGACAAGCCTGTGAGGGTTGGGTGGGAGTAAATTAGAACCTCATCCAGGGGCACTCTTGTCACACAAATAAGATACCTCCATTAACGCCGAAAGCTCGGAATAGAAAAAAGGGCTGTTGTGCTTCATATACACTATTTTGGGTCTACACAATTTACTCCCGTTCCTTCAAATTGTACCAACAAAAGAAAACTGCAGAAACTAATTAAATGTTGGGAAAAAATGGGTTTTCTGTGATGAATCAGATCCAGATGAACTGATAATATTTCAATTTAAAGAATGGTTCAAAGCAAAAAACATAGAAGAAGAAGAAGAAGAAGAAAGAAAGGTGAGAGCTTTACCAGATATGAACCTGCTCCTTACATGCAGACTTTTTAGACTGTCAATAAAAAGAAAGCTTCAAAAAAAGCATAATCATAACATTGCATGGGAAACAATAATCTTTAAATAAATCCCAAGAACAAGATAGGAACGAAGGAAATTGCCCAGAGAAAAGATGAAACTGAAGAAGAAGATAACAAAAGAATTGTAGAATACGCGTTTAACGAGAGAGATGCTCAAGTTGAGGAATGTGAAGGGGAAGGTTAGCTGTTTCTTAGGAGGAAGAAGAAAGTCAGAGGACTCGCAGTTCAGAGTTGTTGCAGCTGATCTTTAACCTGCTTCCCTGACTAATTGTTTCTACTGATATCTCTCACCATCAATGACATGAGGTTTTCCTGATGCCGATGACCGTCCTATGTGTACAAAAAATTGCACATAAAGACCAGTATCCTTTTTTTGTTTTGTTTGTTTGTTCTGGATAAACTTCGCCCAACTAATGTTTTTGTTCTGGATAGCCCGTTTTCGAAAATAGGTTGTTTTGGTTCGTTCTAGAGAAATTTACAAAGTTCTGACTGAAATGATTGCATATATGATTCTGCTGATTTAAGAAAAAATTATCTTTAAAATATTTTATTAAAGTGGTCACAAAGGGTAATTGCAAATGGCATAAACCACGGTGAGAGGCGATGATTCGCCCAAGTAGTATTTTATTAATAAAATAAAGAAAAACATTATATGTAAAAATAGCTAAAATGGTCATCTACAGTAATTTCAGCCAATACAGTCAGAAAAGTAACTCCAACCTTACTTTTTCTGCTTATTACACAATTCAGCGTGCGAAAGTAAAAGTTACGTGTTTAGTGAAAAAGTTGGCTGATAAGCTTGATAAGCCGAAAAACAGTGTTGCCAAACGGCCTCTAAATTGACTCAACTGATAAAATCACTAAAACTATGGTGAAAATTTTCAAACAATTCAGTTGGTAGGAAAAATTTAGAAAAATGACCCAAGATCGAATGACGAGTTTTTTCTCGAATTAATGCAGATTAAATAACTAATTACCGAAATAATGCCGAATTATTACAAATCAGATACAAAACATCACAAATCATATACAAAACAGAACAAAATGACAATGATACACATCAATGTACTTGCTCACAAACATAGTATAAAAACAATATCTAATAGTTTGCAGGTGGACATACGCAACAAAGTAAAGTGTTTCACAGATAGAAAAACTTCTACAACATTCCGGTACATGAATAAGTCCAATAATGGAGACAGACTACAAGTTTTCATGGTCTTCTTGATCGTCTTGGTCATGGAGATGTGGCTGTTAACGCATACGTCTACGCCGCTGCCGTGGCTGAAGAACAATTATGTCATGCCGACTCTAGGATGTAGAAGTTGCTGCTGCGGTAGATGTCAATGCCATAGAATCCTAAGATGCCCATAGTCCACTCGCCCCAACACATCCGGACACATGGAATCAATGTCCGTCAGAACCTGGTCGTACGTGTCCACATCATGCGTATCACTCACTCTGGCAGACTGGGCTGCAAAGCCCGTGTCCGAAATGTGAAACATGAATTATAATTATTTTCAAATAAATAAATGTTAAATAAAGAACATGAATACCTTTAGTAATTAGTAGCACACTCACCGTCAAGTGCAAAACCATGGAACTAGGCTGATAATGGTGAGTAGGGAGTTTGAAAGAAGGAGAGATAAACAATCGCGTGATGCTGTAATACCATCTCATGTAGTCTACAGAAATAGATGGGAGTAATGTTGGCGTCCCAGTCACAACAAGCTCCGCTCGCCTCTCCCATATAGTCAACTAGTCAAGTATCAGACATGTCTGAGCGACCAATCCTCTATAGGCTTCCCGCGCCTATTCAGCATACACTACAAGAAAAATTGTTTTGTGCAATGAAAATTTTCATTGCCAAAGGTTGATAATTCCCTGTCCATTTCATTGGGCAATGAAATCAAATCCGTCACAAGGTCGTAGCCTAAGCATCATGACTCATTATACTTTATGTGATGGATCAAATATTTGTTGCCCATAGTGATGCTTGTACATCAACTACTTTCGTTGCCTATAGATGTACTTTGTGCAACGAATGTTTACTAGTTGTAGCCCCAATTACTTTTGTGTGTTGCAATTCTACGTTGCACAAATGTCTTTAGTGCAACAATATACTATCAATTGTAGTCCATGTTATTTTTGTGTGTTGTAATTTTTTGTTGCACATGGGTCTTTTGTGCAACGAAAGTCTACATTTCGTTGCCTATACAATTTTATATGCATTGGAATTATTTATGTTGCCCATATATTGTACCTCTAAGTCCCCTCCATCTCTTTACACAACATATAGATGCTACATTTTATCAAGTTCAAAATTATGATAAGAAATGAAATATTTTTATATGCTTACAAAATGCATAATATACCTAGTGTCTCCAGAGTTAATCCATGAAAGTGGTCAAAAGATAACGATGCAAAAGTTTCTTAGTACTCAACTCATCATCACATGTTCATTTATTTACAACTTTTTAAGGTATAAAACTAAAACAAATAATAAAAGTCTTCGAACTCGACGAAGTATATAAATCTGTCAATTAACTATAGTATTGATTAGAGTTACAAAAAAAACCATAGTATTGAATAATTGATGATTAATAAATAAATCAATTAATTCATTTAAAATTCTTTGTTTATTCTCAAATTAATCCAACAAAATGAACTGAAATGAAAACCAGATCTAAATTAAGAGAGGAAGCTAAAATTAGAATGCCTAATTTAAGCCTTTACCTCAATTTCAAATAACAGGAATCCACAAAAATTGCAAATAGAGGAGAAAGTAATTGCAAATGGCGTAAACCAGGGTGAGAGGCGATGATTACGCAGTGGACATTGTGCGACTTCGGTGGAAGAATTTTCTCTAAGAACTAAAGTCGGAGAAATAACAGTAAAATAATGAAGCACGAACGTGAGGTTCCTCTGCTAGAAAGAGCCATCCTGTTTTACTAAATCTATGACTTTCTGAAAATGATCTTCACATAAAAACAACATATCATCAACAACTCGGATAGCATGCGTAGCTCAATAGCATAGGTGATCATTTTTACAGATTGATTTATCGATGATCAAACAGAAAAGTTAAAGGAGATGAAGAACAAAGAGAGGATATGTGGATGACATAGAGAGGGGAGGAGGCCGGAACGTACCTTGAACGAAGAGGAAGAAGATTAGAGAAGGAGCTATTGACCAGTCTACCAGGGAAGTATGGAGTAGTACTCCCTACTCCCTCCGTCCCCTTTTAAAAGTCCCGGAAGAGGGTGGCACGACTTTTAAGAAAAGTGGGGTTATGTGGTTGATATTAATTAATAAAGTAGGAATAAAGTAAGAATAAAGTAAGAATGATTTTGAGCCACACAAACTTTACCAAATGCGGTATGGGACATTTAAATAGGGACATCCCAATATGGTAAAATGGGACATTTAATTGGGGACGGAGGGTGTATAAAATTAGGGGTTTCGTTGGTGGGCAGGCCCTTTAATTTGAATGTCTAATCAAATTAAGCAATGATGATGATGATTTAAGAAAGTCGTTGCAATGTTAAAATCTATTGGTTGGCAAAGATAGAAGAAGTGCTATATTTTAATGTTGTCGCCCAAACACTTAATCAAATGCAACAAAATAAAATTTTGTCGCACATCAGTTATTGGTTCGATGCCCAAAATCATTTTTCTTGTAGTTATTATTTATAAAATTGAGGCTGGAAAGACCGTAGCTTAGCTAGTAGCTCCTCATGAGATAATACCAAAAGCGGTTGAAAACCTCCTCGGCTCCTCCTAACCTCGGTCTAGCTAGCTTTGGTTTTAGCTTGCATTGAAACCACGTGCATTTACTAAAAAATCTTTGAGCTAATGATCTACCTTAATCTAAAAGCAAAAGAATGTAATGGAACCGTGTTCCCTCTCAAATATGTCATTTTCATGCAGCTTCTTTTTTGTTTTGGGCTCAGCTTCAACACAATGCGTGAATTGTAATAGTTTTTTTGGGCTCAACTTCTTTTTTTTTTGCTATTGAAATAAAATTGAGCTGTGAATAGTGAAAAGGCAATTACACGTCCTCCCATTGGTCTACATGGGAGGTGATCACTGTTGGGATTAGAAATTGAATCCATTTGCCTTGAATTTTATGGGCAGCGTTGTTTTGATTGGTCGTGAATGGCGGTCGAAAAAGTTGATGGCAGTAGCCCATGCCGTAGTCCATACAAGGCTCTCTTTATGTTGATTCCTTCGGGTATAAGACCATAGCTCCAGCGGCATTGTTTACGCATCAGTACGCATCGGTACAAATCTATTTGGTCAATATTCCTAGCTTACAGAATGGGCATTTTGATTCACTAAACAACATCGAGTTGCATAGCTCTTCGGCTTTATCGTGCACCGGTGAACATAAGCTGACGATTCACATCATCGTTAGATGAATGAACATAGAACGGTCGGAAGGAGGGGTGGTATTCTCAGCTGAGGCATCCGCAGGTAGTAGGGGTGGGATTGTCAGCCGGAGAAAGGATGAGTGGGATTGCCGTTAAGAAAATGGCTAGAGGAGAAGAATAGCGCAGGTGGGTTATCGGCTGAGGGGTCGGTGATTGAAGATTGAACATTTGCGCTCCCTCACCGCATGGAGCCGTGAATATACAGTGGGCGTTGGGGATTGCAGTTGTGGGTGAAAAGATACATTGTGGGCTGGGAGCTGAGATACTTATAAAAAAATACTACGTATATATATGCCTGATTTGAACTGTACTTTTTTCTTTAATTGGAGCATTTGTGGGATGTATTTACGAATTAACATACCATTAATTAAGAATCTAATTCTAAACCATTCAAATTAGAATATTGAGAATATCCAAACTAGAAAGTGCTAACATTATTTCATTTATTTAAAACTTAAAAGGACTCCTATTCTGATAAGACCACCATTCACATTTATCTGATCAATAGTAAAAAAACTACTGCTTAATTAATCTTTCATAATCTCATCATTTTGAAAAATCTATCAACATTCACGTTTATCAATAGTAAAAAACTATTACTTAATTTTTAATCTTTCATAATCTCATCGTTTTGAAAATATCTACGACTGTGCATCACATGAGTGTTATACTAGACATCAGATGATTAAATACACATAATTAACTATTTATGTGTTAAATTTGTAACAACCATGGTCAGATAAAATCATTTAAGATCAAAATTAGTCAATAGTTAAATACACATAAAATAAATAATTATCAGAACATATCAAATCAATTCAGACTTAAATAAATAAGACCCAAAAAAAATCAAACTCACTAAAATTATCTTTAAACTACGAGTACAAATAAAACGTGGTTTGCGTTTTGTGTTGTTAATTTTTTGGTAAAGAAACAAATAAGCAATACATATCTATGTAGTAAGATTTAATACGG